AGATCATTCAGAACCACTTTTCTGAATTTACTGAAAAAGAAATTATATAAAAATAAGACCTAGATAAACTTCTGAGCAAATGTGTGGCTTACAGACAAGAAAATCTGATTTCTGCTTAATTGAAAAAAATGGCCTAACTTTCAATGAGACAGCAATGTGATAATTCAGGCAGAATAAAAGTACAACCACACATATACTATAAACACTAATATCACAAGATGCTAGTCTGCAGACCACATGGAGTGCTCTAGTGTTTCAACAATAGTATAATAAACACACTTTAAGAACTATTGATCTTAGGGCCTGGTGCAATGGCTCATGCCTATAATCCTAGCACTTGTAAGGCTGAGGCAGGGGGAATGCCTGAGCTCACAGGTCCGAGACCAGACTGAGTCAGAGCGAGACCCTGTCTCTAAACAAAGAAAAGAAAAGAAATAGCTGGGCATTGTGGTGTGCGCCTATAGTCCCAGCTACTTGGGAGGCTTAAGCAAGAGAATCGCTTGAGCCCAAGAGTTTGAGGTTGCTGTGAGCTATGATGCCACAGCAGTCTACCAAGGGAGACTCTGTCTCAAAAAGAAAAAAAAAAAGAACCACTGATCTTGAACAATTTTCTGTATGTATTACAAATTATACAGATACACACAAATGGAAATAGAACTTACCTACAATTCACTGTTGATTTTCCACCTTCAAATTCAGAATTTTTCCCCCATCTTTTAGGTAATTCTAATACCATAAGTCCTTTTATTCCTATAAGTGCTACATGATGTTGTGTTGGACTTAACAAGACTTGATAGATTTCAAACAAGGGTGGATTTATGCAAAGCAATCTCTGGAAATTAAAGCAAACCAATCAAAATAGTTAATTTTGATTTAAATGTATGCAACAATTATGTGAATGTATACATGTGAACAGTAATGCTTTAGTTTTCTATAATCACACTATTATGAAGCATTCTGAGTAAGTACTAACACTTGGATCATTAATTGGTGAAATATTTTCAATCATTTAGGTTGGCATATTATAAAAAATGCATCAGATTTCTTTATCTTGATAAACAGAGTCCACTAGACATAAATTTTCCTTCTTATGATCCAGCTCCAGCCTATCACTCCAGTTTTATCTCTCTGCCATTTGAAAGTGTTCTTGGAGCCCTCTGATCGGAGACACAGCCATTCCCCACCTACTTTACACTCCAATCAGATTAACTTATATTTCTGGGAAATCATCATGCTTTGCTCTGCTGCTGTGTCTTTGCATAATTTTTTCTCCTTCTGCAAGGCTCCCATTTTTTTTTAGCTGGCTGACAAGACTTAGAAATTCTTTGAGACCTAGCTTCTATGTACTTCCTCCCCAAGAAATCTCTGATCTTCTTGCCAGGAACAACTGCATCTTTTCTGTACTTCTATAGCACACTCTGGATAAATGTATTACAGTTCTTTTTTATTATTATTATTATTTGAGCCTCAAGCTGTTGCCCTGGGTAGAGTGCTGTGGCATCACAACTCACAGGAACCTCAAACTCCTGGGCTTAAGCAATTCTCTTGCCTCAGCCTCCCAAGTAGCTGGGACCACAGGTGCCTGCCACGACGTCCGGCTATTTTTTGGTTGCAGTTATCATTGTTGTTTGGCAGACCCAGGCTGGATTCGAACCCGCCAGCTCTGGTGTATGTGGCTGGCACCTTAGCCGCTTGAGCCACAGGTGCTAAGCCAATCTATTATAGTTCTTATCACACTGCATTATAATTGTCCTTTTTACTCGTTCATTCCACACAACTGACTAGGAATTACTTAAGATCTAAATTTCCTCTCTGTAGTCTTAGCATTCTGGCACATTGCTGACTCTCAATACATATTTAGTAAATACATATGAGCTTAGAGGTATTAAGAAATAATAATTACAATATTATAAATAGTACAATAATATAAAGAATGGCTTTAAGAGTTTTTGCAGCAAGCAGAATGCTGCTTTACCTATGAGGACTTAGTAACAGTGTGATGTTTTCAGGGGGTTCTGGTAAGCTGTCTCAGCATGACATGTCCTCATAATCCACTTTTGTTGATACTTCCTATTTTTTCGCTCATGACCATCTCAGATTCCCATTTT